TAAGGGTTTTAATTTAGTATTAGGGGTAAGCTTCGAACTGCCATTTTTGGCAATATTTTAATTGCGTTATATAAGGAAATTTAATTGATTTTGAGATCGGAAAAAATGGTTTTTATTATTAAGGGTTTTAATTTAGTATTAGGGGTAAGCTTCGAACTGCCATTTTTGGCAATATTTTGGTTCCCTAATACTAAAAACTACTTGCCGTGTTTTGTATTAGGAGGAAGGGATTATATGGGATAATCCTTCCCATTGACTTTCATATTTTTCAAGATGGTTAAAACCACCAACCAGTCCATAATTAACCAATGATTAACCATCATTAACAACTATTAACCACTATTAACCATGATATGGTTTTACCAGTAGAGAATCTAATATGGTTTTGCCGTGTTCACTGTGTTCACGACCACCCCCAAACCCCCAAGGCCTTGATCAGCTCGTACGGCAAAAACAGCCAGTGGCCCATGGCATTAGATCCTTGGATCGCAGCACTTGGGATGACCATGATGTTTATGGCCCCCAAGTTAGGATATTATGATATAACTCCTGCAACTATATGGTTCTGTATACACTTATGACTGGCCACAATTGATTGGTCATTTTATGGGGGGAATGATGGACTGGTTATGTTGACCCATGCCAAAAAAAAACAAACTGTCTGGTGGTTTGCGGGCAGAGGATAAATGTTCGAAGATAGATAATAACGGGCTTTAGTTAATTTTATCATTCACATCGAATAGGATCCTTGTGGGCCTTGCGTCAAGGACTGCAACTGCCTAGATCCAGCCAACCCTAGATGCAATGGTGGCTGGACCCTCACAAGTTTGGTGGGTAAACACCGAAAAAAACAAAAAACGTTGCACCCAAGAATGTTGCCCCTAATGTTTGCAAATTTGATGTTTCCAGTGGAGTCTCCTTTTGTTTTGTTTTGTTTTGTCGAGTAAAACCAGCACTTGCTCGATAACCGTCACAAAACATAGACATAGCTGACATTAGTTGTCAGGTAGGCCGGGTGGGTTGGTAGAGCTAGTGAATCGCCATAGCAAACCATTGTCTTGCCTGGGTAACGGGCACCCCTAAATTTGGCTGGGTCACTTGTCATTGGTAAGTGGCTACCACAACCAAGCTGTTCACATTTATGCAATCAGGATATCTTCAAGTCAATGGCAAGCGTGTCTCTGAAGCCTAATGCCTACATCTACAGCGCCACCATCAGTGCCTGTGAGAGAGGCGCTTGCTGCGAAATTGGTAAGTGGAGCAACAAGAAATTGACCCTGGTGTTTCGTAGTGTTTTTTTACTGGTGAATTAATCTGGTGCAGCAGAGATCAGGGACAATGCACTTTGGAATAGCTTTCTGATTTCTGGCTCAAGATCTAGCGTCCCTAAATGTCCCTAAAGTGATTCTATCTTGCGGTTGCAACCATGTTAAATTATGCTTGGCTTCACTGTTCAATTCAGGTCTGTCTGAAAATGTGGTACCCCTTGCTGTTTGATGGATGATATAATCATGTTCACATTTTTTAATGACCATCGACAAATGATAATATAAGGCCCACACCCAGTTTTGGGGAACTCTCCACGACGACCATTTGGTTGAAGGCCCAAGTGACGTTCATATTTTTGGGGTGGGTGGTTCAACCACCAAACACATTAGAGTGCATAAGCATAATATGTAACATATATATATATATACATTTTTACGTGGGTTTGTTGACCAGCATTGTTCCCATTATGCCGTTGCCGTCAAAAATTGGAGTAGATCATGATGTTCCCATCAAGATAGCCGCATATATATATAGTATATAATATATATATATATATAATATATATAATATATATAATATATATATATAATATATATATAATATATATAATATATATAATATATTTAAAAAATGGCCCAAATCGCCCAAATTTTCCGGGAAAAAAAATTATGGGGGCCACTAAAAACACCCGCCCTTGATTGGTCAATATAGGTGTGTGTACTGGCAGGTTTATTGGGGACTATTACAACCCATACAGTAAATCCAGGATGCCTATTTACTACCTAACATTTCATGGGAAAACAGGGGTAGTTTTCATGGCAAAGTCGCGTGGATTTCAGCTACAAATCACTAAATCGACGCGGAGGCAGTCAATGGCCCTTGGCCTTACATCTCTGCATCACAACGAACTCAGCGAGTGCCTCCTTCAACGCCGCCAGCAGTGGCATGACCAATGCGTTTCTCGGTGCTGCGGCGCTGAAGCCCAGATGATGGTTGATGATTAGTTCAGGGGTACCACCCATTTTTTCGGGGAGAATAATGAAAATCCATGAGCTGGGAATCTCTCGTATCCAGTCAGTGGCAATGGAATAGCAGAGGGTTTCGGACACTGTTCACATTGATCCTTCTTTCCTTTTTGGAACCATATAAAATGATAGATGTATTGATAATATATATATATTCTTTATATAGAGCTACAATCTATATATTGATCTGCTTGGTGGTTTGGAACATTTTTTATTTTTCCATATATTGGGAATGTCCTCATCCCAATTGACTTTCATATTTTTCAGAGGGGTAGGCTCAACCACCAACCAGTGATGCTTTGATTCAAAAACTGCCAAACCACAAGTAGGAAGGGTTCAAATTCTTTGCAAAATTTGTGTTCAGGTCTTTGTGGCAGAAAGCATTGCAGCTCTTCAATGCTATGCCTAAGATCAAGGCGGGGGACGGCCAAGGGGACTGTGAATGGTAGACATGGATATATAATGATATATATATATATATATATATACCTATGGTTAATGATGGTTAATGATTGGTAATGATGGTTAATGATGGTTAATGATGGTTAAATATACTATACTAATGGTTTGGACCATAAACAAAAATCCCAAAGCTCAAAATTGTTAAAAGACGACCAGCGATTTTCTCAGATGTCATGCTGGAGACACAAGATCTCCTGCCGGACGGTCTGCAGGTTACTCCAGACACTTACAGCTACAATGCAGCCATCAACGCCTGTGAAAAGGGTGGAAACTACCCATTGGCTCAACATCTTCTCAAAAGCATGGCCAATGACGTGACACCCACCATTGCAGCACGGTATTGACTTTCAGTTGCTCAGTTTTCTCAACACAATAGATCCTTCTTGGAAAAAAAACATGTCAGTTGGACAAGGGGGTCCCTGAGTCGGTCAGATAGTGGTTGCTCTGGCAACCGCTGATGTCCCAGGTAAGCTACAACACAACCATCAGTGCTTGTGAAAAGAATGGGAAATGGTCTTCAGCACTTGGCTTCTTCTATGCCATGTTTCTTGGAAATTCGCACTGCTGGTTGTTATGCCGGCGAAGCAGACTACAAAGCATCTTGATGCCTCTATATATGAGCAACGGCGTTTATTTGGTGAGGCGAAGAGTAGTTATGGGGCATACATGGGCATACCCATTTTTCCCGAGAGCGTCTGAGCGCAGGGTTCTTCCAATAGTGGGGGTCTGTAAAACATCTTCTCATCTTCACATCTCATCTTCACATTCTCTCATCTTCACATCTTCTCATCATCTTCACATCTTTTCATCTTCACATCCTCTCATCTTCACATCCTCTCATCTTCACATCCTCTCATCTTCACATCTCATCTTCACATCCTCTCATCTTCACATCTTTTCATCTTTACATCCTCTCATCTTCACATCTTTTCATCTTTACATCCTCTCATCTTCACATCCTCTCATCTTCACATCTGCTCATCTTCACATCCTCTCATCTTCACATCCTCTCATCTTCACATCTGCTCATCTTCACATCCTCTCATCTTCACATCCTCTCATCTTCACATCTGCTCATCTTCACACCTTCTCATCTTCACATCTGCTCATCTTCACATCTGCTCATCTTCACACCTTCCCATCTTCACATCTGCTCATCTTCACACCTTCCCATATTCACATCTTCTCATCTTCACATCTGCTTATCTTCACATCTGCTCATCTTCACATCTGCTCATCTTCACATCTGCTCATCTTCACACCTTCCCATCTTCACATCTTCTCATCTTCACATCTGCTCATCTTCACACCTTCCCATCTTCACATCTGCTCATCTTCACATCTGCTCATCTTCACATCTGCTCACCTTCTCTCTCACGCCTTCTTTTTATCTTTCTCTCTTAAGGCCGAGGGTGGTGCCGGCGGCGAGTCACGAAACGTCAACCCTTTCGCACGAAATGAGGGTCGATCGGCAAAAACTGAGGTAAAATTGCGATTTGACTTGTGCTGGAGCAACCCTTTCGCACGAAATGAGGGTCGATCGGCAAAAACTGAGGTAAAATTGCGATTTGACTGTGCTGGAGCAACCCTTTCGCACGAAATGAGGGTCGATCGGCAAAAACTGAGGTAAAATTGCGATTTTACTGTGCCGGAGCAACCCTTTCGCACGAAATGAGGGTCGATCGGCAAAAACTGAGGTAAAATTGCGATTTGACTTGTCCTGGAGCAACCCTTTCGCACGAAATGAGGGTCGATCGGCAAAAACTGAGGTAAAATTGCGATTTGACTTGTGCCGGAGCAACCCTTTCGCACGAAATGAGGGTCGATCGGTAGAAACTGAGGTAAAATTGCGATTTTTCCTGTGCCGGAGCAACTCTTTCGTCTGTGTGTAAAAGCGTCTGTGTGCAAAAGCTTCTGTGTGTAAAAGCGTCTCTGTGTGTAAAAGTCTCTGTGTGTAAAAGCGTCTGTGTGTAAAAGCGTCTGTGTGTCAAAGCGTCTGTGTGTCAAAGCGTCTGTGTGTAAAAGCGTCTGTGTGTAAAAGTGTTTGTGTGTAAAAGTGTTTGTGTAAAAGCGTTTGTGTGTAAAAGCCTCTGTGTGTAAATGTGTTTGTGTGTCAAAGCGTCTGTGTGTAAAAAGCGTGTGTAAAAAGCCTCTGTGTGTAAAAGCGTCTGTGTGTAAATGTGTTTGTGTGTCAAAGCGTCTGTGTGTAAAAAGTGTCTGTGTGTAAAAAGCGTCTGTGTGTAAAAGTGTCTGTGTGTAAAGGCGTCTGTGTGTAAAAGGGTCTGTGTGTAAAAGCGTCTGTGTGTAAAAGCGTCTGTGTGTCAAAGCGTTTGTGTGTAAAAGCGTCTGTGTGTAAAAGTGTTTGTATGTAAAAGTGTCTGTGTGTAAAGGCTCTGTGTGTAAAAGGGTCTGTGTGTAAAAGCTTCTGTGGGTAAAAGCTTTGTGTGTAAAAGCGTCAGTGTAAAAGCGTCTGTGTGTAAAAGTGTTTGCGATGCAAACTATTGTCTTGCACTTCTCACTATTTTGTCTTGATACTCCTCTTCTCGACTGCCTATAACACAGCTTTCATATACCGTTTCTAAAATTGCATCTCCATACTAACAAGAGAAGACCCTGCTCCTTTACGCTCTCGGGCCATCCGTCGTCTAGTTTATCGAAAACAACATATTTAGGTTGCAAAATAAGGTAGGAACACCCCGAGAACGAGGTAGGCATTGCATGCAAAGCATCTCATAAATTAGTTATCAAAAACAAGTGCGGTCTTCGAAAGCTAGGTCATGCCGCCAAAAAGGGTCCGGGACTGGAGAATGAGGTAGGAACACCATGTCTACCACGTGATGTACCACATACTTTTTGCGGCTCTTGTGATGATGGCTATCTCGTCTTGAAAGAGCACAGTCTAGACTATCCCTTTCACCCAATATGAATTACCTGCACATGGGCCCTGAAAATGAATAGATCTAATACAGTCCACCAGGGATTCTTGGGGGGTATATGAGGTGGAGGGATTCTACCATGATGTGTTGCCCTACCGTTTCCTGAAGCTGTGCAGAGAGTCTATGTCCAGCAGGAGATGGGGCAAACCGGCAGCTGACCCCCTGCAACCCAGACGAGGTCAGCGAAAAAGTTGAAGCCCAATGTCATCAGTTTCAACTCTACACTCAGCGCCCTGGAAAAGGGTGCCTCGGTCAGAAAGATCTTCCAAAGTGTTCTTCAAGTGTCTTTCATGATCGTTTTTGCTGTACGAGGTCTGGCGAAATAGCGATGTCTTTGCTTCCAAGGTGCCCAGTGGGTCACCGCTTTTCAACTGTTCCACTCGATGCCCAAAGCATCCTGGCTGGACATTGGCACCAACATGAGGGAATCATCCCAGGTTTGCAAGGGGAATTCGCTTTAACTAACACAGATCAGAATATTGACATGTGGATAAATGATGATAAATGATGATAAATGTGGATAAATGATGATAAATGATGATAAATGATGATAAATGATGATCAATGATGATAAATGGGGGTATGATTGGCACAAGTTTCAAACCGTGTGGTTTCTATAGAAAAAATCCACGTGAATGATTTGTACAGGGGAAGCCACTGTGGCCGACATCCTGGGCCACACCCTGGGTCATTAATGGCATTGAATGGTAAGTGTGATGAATGGTAACTACTGGTAGTGAAGTCACGGTACAGTACTTGCTGCTGTTCTTTTTTGTCGCTCCATTCCGAATTTCAGCGAGGCAGAGGTTGTTCCAAACGTGATTACTCATGGTGCTGTCATCAGTGCCTGCGAGAAGTCTGGGCAATGGCAATGGGCCTTACATATGTTGCTCTGGTGTGACCGTAATCCGGCTACCCTCTAGTATAATTTGATGTACATATCGAATTTTATAGATGATTGAGTTATGAAAAATGCTGAGTTTTCCCCAGTGTAACAAATTACCAGAGGGTTTATTGCGGTGGTGGGATCAGACAGAGCAATCGGACAGTTGAATCATGTTGAATCGCCTGGAAGCTTAGTTTTCCATGAACAGTGTTCATAGCTGATACAGTGTATATATATATACTTCTATGTATAGTACATGTTAAATACAGTATGCCCTGGCATGCTTGTACATGATGCTGACATACTCAAAACAACAGCAAAACCACAGCAAAACCAGCGATTAAAATGGAGCGAACATGAATGCTCGAAGTGCTCGAGAGCCGAATCCACAGGTTACAGTAAACTCCGTTGTACATCAGACCTCAGGTTCCACTCGATGCCCCAACAGCATCTCTCGCCGGACCTTCACGTGTACAACTCCATGCAGCTTGTCTCAAGTGGTCCAAAGCGCACACTAACCCTTTTTGGTAGGCACTTTACTGTTGTTGATGCTGTTGATGCTGTTGATGCTGATGATGCTGCTGATGATGATGATGATGCCTGCCACACATGTGACTATCAATGCCCATGGCCCAAGACACCAAAAGGTTTGGTGTAAGCAATATGATGTATATACATATTGTCGATGTAACTTATTGATGTTGACACCAGATGACGCTGACAGCCGCTGAGTCAAAAATCCCAGGTTGGCTGCCTTTGACCGCAGCAGCCTTTGGTCACGGGCCACAGAATTATTTTCAGAGATGGCTTCTGCAAACGTGCAACCTGATAGACACCTGGTTGCATCCTGTCATATAAGGGGTGTCTGACGATGGTACATTCATTGGTCAAGGATGATGACAGTATATAAAAAAGGCAGGGCAGAGGGCGGTCAAGAGATTGCTTTCATCGACAATGGTAGCACAATAGAGTACAGCTCAGTAGCTCTGCGATGTGCAAAAATGGTGAAAGTACAAGGATGAAACCAAGAGATATTGAATCCGGTGCCATACACTTGTTTTTTCCCAAAGAAACATTTCTCTTCAGCACACATGTAATGAAATTGCAAAGCGACCTTGTCAAAGTCACTGAACCTGCCTTGCAAAGCCCTCACAATACGACACCATTTCATATGGTCAACTGATCCCTGGAAGATCCACCGCCTTCAGTTGGTTTTCCATTACTTTGAGAATCATATGTTGACGGAACATATACGTCGTTCCATTACTTTTTTAGGATCTTTTAGGTTCCTTTGCGGGAGGCGATGTAAGAACCAACGCTTCATCAGGGATAGAGTTGGGAACCGCTCGAGTTTCGAAGGCTACTCCTACAACTCCATCATCAGTGCTTGTCAGGGGCTCAGCGAGCAGCACGGCTGCTGGATGGTCACTGCAACCCATTGGTTCGATTTATTTTGATCAACAGAACACATCAGAGGCAGAAAATGAATGAACATGAAATGTAAAACCTGGCAATGGACAATTCTAAATTTCCACAAGTTGTTCTAAGTCAAATTCTTGTTTGCGATTGCGGCACTAGGTTACCACAGGAGAAACACTCTTTGAAAATAATTACATTTTTTCATCCTTTTTCAATAAACTTGAACGAAGTCAGGATGCATTTGAGTGTTGGGTAGCAAGTAGTCAGGTCGGAACCAGTGGCAACTGGCTTTGTACTTCTTCAGTCAGATGGGGGCCGTGAATCTGGCGCAGGATGATGTTTGCCACTTTGGCTGCAGGGCAGTTTTGGGAGGGAAAGTTGTTGAGGTTGAGTGCTTCAGTCGACTAAGCACAGCAGCTGTGAATGTGGATGTTGTCCGGCTAGTCTTTTTCAGACGATTTTTTTTTCGTGCGCACGGGTGCACATGCTAGATGGTATTCGCTGCAAGACCTGCCTGAATTGTTTTGTTTATGAACCTGAGCAAGCTATTGAACCTGAGCAATTTCATTTGGTGAGATTTCATTGAAAGGTGCAGGAAGACCTTCTACCAAGTGCCAAGGACACCCATCGGACCTTCGGGTTGAAGTGTATCGAGAGTGTTCAGATATGTTTGATCAATCTGTCGGTGGTATCCAGCTGTAGTTCCGACATCTTCGCACTAAAATGAGCCAATCAGGCTACAACAGCTTGCTGAACGGCCTTGTTGATGTTGAGGGGTCATCTATTGGCATGGCCTATTTCCAGCTGGCACTTGCCAATCAGGTGCCCTGCATTGTTGATATTGTTAGGGCAATCCGGGTATTTCTCGGGTCTTGGGATGTCTTGGCTATTGGGATCAGTGTGGTCCCCGATTTTGGGCAGAATTCGGTTTGGCATTGACGGCTGGGGTCTGATGTTTTAGAGAGATTTAGAAGATTTTAGGAGAACGTCCCCACCAATTCAATGTCACAGAGTGGATGTGCATAGGATCCAGGCTCCTTGAATTTCGTCCCTTCAACACATTTTAACACTATAATACTATAGTAGCTTCGAGGCAGCAGTATTCCACTAGGAAAATCCCTCCATTGAGTTCGACGATTTTCCCATTGAAAACTCCCATACCCCATACATATCCATTTTAAAGAATTTCCCAGCTAGCCATGTTTGATTCGCGGAGGGTAGTGATATGATGTGATCTTTTGGATTCCTATCATCCACACAGTATCATGCAGGCAGCTGTCCATTCGGTGAGGTTTATCCTAAGATGTTTGCGAAAGCCATCGACATCCTCGATGTCCACGACTGCTCACCAGGGGCTGCAAGACTTGCTTTGAGCTGGTGGTTGGCAAATGTTGCTGGCCAACAAGTTGGAAGCGTCGGTGAAAATGCACTGTTTAAGATAAAGGAAACCTATGGAAAACTAATGATTCATAAGTTTCTACGCGTGCACCCGGGGGTAGAATCTTGGCAGTCGAGGAATTTGCGTTGATCCCTTGTATATGCCGTCACATACAGAGGCTTTTGGCTTGTTTCTGTTGATTTCAGACTGAGGCTGTCAGAAGTTCATTTAGTTCGGGCCCATTGCCACTGATGTTTTTCTTAAGTGAAGGCTATCCCTAGTTCCTTTGCGACATGTTCGGATGTGTTTGGATGGCTCGGGGCAACGACTGTGAGGTTGTGGCAAAGATTGTTGAAGAGCATGGAGGGAGAAGGTTCCTGGTCATCACTGGCTGGGGGATGCTTGGAAGCAGCCACTGATGGCTGGGTTTTGGTGGCAATGACATGCACTGACAGCTGGAATATGGAGATATCCAAAGCCTCACCAGCAGCTGGCAGTGGCAAGAGCCTATGTTGTTGCTAAAGAGGTATCCTCAAAATAAGCAGGAGGGACTGGTGAGGTACAGACTCCAGCGATTTCAAAGTTCACATCTTCAGCTTGGCCATGGCAAGCCATGGCATTTCATCAGGAAGTCTCGCGCAGCTTGGAAGCGTGGAAACTTGCAGCAGGATTTGCTCAAGGATTTGATGAACCTTGATGCCAAGGACGGGGGCATTGCAGACAATTGCAGAGTAGCTGGTTGTGGGTGCGAAGACTGGCGCAAGGTGTGTTTCATTGGGACATTTTTCTTTGAGGCATTCTTCGCTTGGCTAATATCTTCCTTTGAAGGTCAGCAGGTATTTTGTTGCTGTTAGTCGTTTGATAAGTTGAACACAGGTGAAATGGTTGAAGTTTCTATATTGAAGAACACATCTTGAAAAAATGGTTCTGTTGAAAGATGTTCTGCTTTCTTGTAAATAGGATGCCGATAGGTCGTTGAAGACCTGTTGCTGCATAGATCAAATCACTGAGCCTGCTAGGTCTACGAGGAAGTGGGATGCATCAAAATTCAGCTGACCAAGGGGCATTTGGCCAAGCTGCGCGAAAAAGCGGACAATCGGCTGCTACGGCGCTACTGCCTGCTTGGGAATTTCTAGATTCCACCTGGTTCGACACTCTGCTGAGGCAGGCCTCAAGTATTACTGTCCTGCGTTAGACCGATGAACTGGACTGTTCTGAAATAGCCAATGGGCAAACTGATGACTGCGTTTGTACCACTTGGATGTTTCTCAGGGTGTTCCGCATACAAAAGGCGTCGTTCTTCACAGAAATTCACCAGCAATCCACTCAATTGTTTATCCATTGAATTTGATAATTTTGATAAACAACCCACTGAGAGCGGAGGAACAGCTCATCACTGCAAATCATAGAGGGGTTTCTATTCTTGTGACACCTTGTGACAACCCACAACTGGATGCTTTGTCATCATTCTCCCGATCAAAAAGTCCAGAAATTTATATAATTATATATATATAATATATTTATATAGGGTTCATCCGGTTCATGTTCATCTATGTTCATCTCCCAATTTAAGACAGACCCCAAGCCCCAAGTAAGATAAGTAAGATATTGTTGGTGAATGTTGGTGAGATAGCAGTGTATATTGTGTATATTATCTGGGTAAATTATAACAACCTCACTGTTCTCCCTCACTGGAATCATGGTTAGTAAGGGAAATCATCCCAAAATGGCCGCAAGATTCAGGTTAGTGAAATATTGTAATTTACCCTGATATAATGGCCTTATACCATACATCCCACTCTATCCCAATGGCATCCCAATGGTTTTTCATTGGTTTTTCCCTATCTTTGTTGGCTAAATCCTGGTCTGACTTAGGCCAAGGCCGGAGCCGGTCAGGCAGGGTTTGCTGCCAGAAGAGAAGAAAATTGGGAAAAAAAACATTTCCTTCAATGGATTGGATTAGGGGAAAATTTACAGGAAAGCCCCATATTTAATGGGAAAATCTATGGTTTCCTGTAGATTTTCCCTTAAACCAATCCATTGATTCCTGAGTTTCCTGCAAAGGATCCCTCAAGTCAAACCAGTTGATCCACAGTTCTGCTAGCTCGCCAGGAAGCTGTGCTCGAAGCCGTGCAGAAGGACGAACGAACTGATTGGACTGTTGGACGGTCGTGTTCCTGGGTAAATCTTCACCAGAAAATCTCAGTTAAGGTCCATCAGTTGGGAGATTATTCCCTTGCACTTCAAATACAAGGGAAGCATATGGAGCTATAAAATTACTTGCTTGCTCTTATACTTGAATTCAGGGATTTTTTCAGTATTTTGAGTATCAGCATAGTATCAGCTGCAATCAGCTACACTACAAATTTGGGGGATATCCAGCGGTATCCAGTCTCCGCTGGGCCATCCCCAGGATTTCGAACATCGCATGGAGCGCTATCGAGACGAGGTGGGATCCAACAGGTTGGGAGGACTCGGATGAAGCGCGACAGGTGGGACCCAAAATGGATGGTGAAAAAATGTGACAAACCATGATAAAAACCATGATAAAAACCAATAAAAAACGTTTTAAAAAAAGAAAGCCATCTGTTAAACCATGATAAACTTGAATGAGGGTCCAGATCATCGAGTGGTGCCACATGTTTTGACTCATACCACTCTGATTGTCTGACCGGGCAAGAGAAAATCCACATGTTGAGATATTTTGAGTGGGACAATTTTTGGCAACATCGTTCACAAATGGTTGAATTTTCATGAATGATACACGGCCAGACGGCAGGTTTTGTGTCTTGAAAATCCTACCCAGCTGTCGCATGTCGCAAGTTTTCTCGTGCCATAGGTTCAGTATCTTCGCCAAAAGTGCGATGAGAAGGACACCAGATTGGTGGACGTCAATGACCATGAAGACGCCTTGGGGTATCCGTGGGACACTGTGGTGTTCAGAACAACCAAAACACTAAACTTGGCGGTTCCGCCGTGAGGAGCGGCGATGTGAACAACTCATGGCGGAGAAGGGGGCCCTATCGGTTCGGTGCACAGGTCTTGACTTGGGGTCGAAGGGCCCGGAGGGGCCAAAGGGCAAGTCAAACAGAAATGTGAAACCAGACAGTCAGGCGAGGTTTTGCCACAGTCTTGGCAGTTTGAATCTTCGTTTGCTTGAATCATGTTGTTTCATGTTGTTTCTATATTCAGTTCCTGATCTGTAATGGTGTTATGGACACCCTCATCAGCCATGTGGCTCGAGCCAGCTGATAGGACAAAGATGCAGAGATCATCAAAGATGTGAAGCAAGGACTACATCCAGTCAGATTTCGATGGTATATGTAGTTTATAATGTGTGCAATATGATTGGCCAGCAGCCATTGGAAACTGTAGTAACTTGAAATCCAAAGCCGGGAGCACTGGGTCAAGACCTCCAAGTGCCACAGGAGTTGCACATAATCATGAGTTGCGTGGAGATGGATGCCATCAAAGAACCAAAACAGCAATGTATAATTACATTGTCAAATTGTACATATATCTATAGATCTAGATATAATTACTGTACCATACATACAATATGTATATATTATAGGCAACAATCAACAAGGTTTCAAGGATGAAGACTCGCAGAACCGCACACTTTCTCCCCGTGATGTGGAGTCGTGCCGTTGTGGATCCCAGCTGGGTGATGATTTGGACGAAGATAGCTGGGGGGAAAAGCAGATGCCGCATGGCCCTTTAATATGGGATTATAGTACTTAGCATATATATATATATATATACATATAATTATATATCTAATATGGATATATAATATTATAATATATAGACATCCTAAATTATGATACTAAATTTTATAAGTAAAATGGGGAATACCGTAAAATTGGTCTAAACAGTTGGAATTTGAGATCTAGCTATTTTTCAGATAAAGATGGAGGAAGAATCTGGATAGACATGAAAATTGGGCAGGTTAGGCGGACAACAGCTGTCAACCAGTGACTGTTCAAAGAAATGACTTTTCGGTTTCACATGGTTTCAGAGTACGTTCGGAAAGGACATAATAAGTCAAAACGTTGAGGTTTACTATGGTCTTATTTGGGTAACCCGTTTTGATACAGTAATTTGATTCGCCTGACCTTGTTTGCTATGGCCACGGGATAGAGCAAGCTCGATTGAGGCATTTGGGCCCATAGCTATTAGCGCGTTTGGCACCAAGAGTGGGCCAGGTTGGCCATTCCAGGAGGGAAAGAATGGTCCATGGTGGTAACATATCGATGGTTGGTGGTCTCAACCATTACTGTTTGCCCATCCTTAGAAATTACATTATGATGATAATACCATAGTGTTAATTGCTAATTATATAATAATAATAATCATCATCATCATCATCTCAACTGAAGTATCCTTTTTGGAAGGTGGAACCACCAACGAATTTGGTTGTAGCGGATGCTTGGTGTTGCTGTTACACACGCGCACACACCCACTTATTTCAGCTGTGATCCTTGGTTTGGTACCCATAGCCATTCGTGCTCTTTTGGCCACCAGATTTCAAAGGTGACCTGTTCATTTGTGGAAATAAAGCATGATTGAATGGTGCTTTGGGAACAGCTGGTGGCTGAGGCCATTCAGATATACGCAAGCGCGAGGCGGGGCCTGACCCTGCATCCTTTGTGGTGGAAGAAGGAGGTCTTGAGGGTGATCCGAGGGTAAGGCATCCTTTCCACAGCCAAAAATGCGCAAAAAGTGAGAACGTAGTCTGAAGTGGGTTTTCATGTGTGATGTGAGTTGTGTCCCGTTTTTTTTCGATCTGTTTTCGGTGCATCAGCAGTTTGCAAATGATGACATGCCCGAAGGTCTGAACAAAGCGTGTGGCTTAGCCCGGCACCACAGTAGTACAGCTGAACTGACCCTGGCAGATCCTGTGACTGAGGCCTGCTAAGAAAAGGAAAATAGGCTTATTCATAGGCCAGAAAAATGGGGACCAATTGCCTTTCTGATCATATATGGATGTATATGGCCATGGATCAAATAATGCCTTCAAATACAATTTTCTTGTGGAACATGAACATCCATTTGACAGCTATTCGATGTTCCCCAAGGGTACAGAATTTTGACCCGTCGCCAGCAGATTTTCAACAGGGCCAGCTTAAGATACCCAGCAGTGGGTTTCAGGTCATGAGGATCAAATGAGGATCAGCTCTGAAGACCAATACAGCTGTGCTGGAGGGCTTTGGTGTCCAAAGAACGCTATTTTTTCTCACTGGTCCTATACCTTTCCATGAAACCATGTGGATGTGTGATTGCCACATTGCGACTGATACCTCAGGTCGGATATCCAAATGTGGGGAAGTCCTCCCTTTTCAACGCTTTCGTAGGCGGGGCCGTTGCGGTCTATAATCCGACCCTTTCATATTGTTAAACACCTCCAAGAAACCGTGGTTTAGTATATAAGGGATTTACAATGATTTACACATATTCGCAACCATGGAACGGGGAGTTAGATATAGATATTAGGGGGATGGGGTTGCTGTGTGGTTGATGGGGGTCGCGATATACTTAGATGTATCTATTTTAACCATATTTAGATAACAATCTTATAGATTAAAGATTGGATTTAATCATATATATATATATATTAACCATATTTAGATAAAGATTGGAGCCTCGGGCCGTAAGCCACGGTCCCAGCCAAGTCTGGTGACAGGATCCACGGTAGCAGCAGCGGAGAACTTTCCCTTCTGCACCATCGAACCAAATGTTGTGAAGGCAGACATGGGTTCAAGTCATAGGGTACCTCATGGTACCTCATGGTACCTCTAAATCCATTGGTTAATCATCATTTTACCATCATTTTCCCATCATTGTCCCATCATTGTCCCATCATTGTCCAATATTTTTCCTATTAAAAGTACCATTTGGGGGAAAAAAACTATGGACAGACCCACATTTGGACCGGTGGACCTGCTGGACATGAAGGTTTTGAGAAAGAAAGTGTGGTCATTCACAGTGATGCAGTGATGGTTTCCCCGCCATGAACTCTGATGTTTGAAAATTTTACTAGTGATATCTAGTGATATACTTTTATAAAGGAAACAACAATTGTTGATGACACCCTACTGGTATTCTCTTGGCGACATTTGGTGATTTGTTTCCTCTTGGTGATCCCTTTTCTTTGGTTTCAAATAAGATGCTTCCCGAGTTTGCAAAGAGTCGCTGTGGTTGGATGTGCTTCTCTTAATTCAGGTAGGTGTGCCAGATGTGCGCCTCCATCGCTTAGCAGAGCTTTGTGCGTCTGAGCGCACCGCCAGCTGCCCAGCAGACTAATCGAGCCATGCTCCCACATGTACTGTACAAAATGAATCAGAATGAGGGAAACGATGCTCCATGCCCGGATTCCAAGCATGAATCAATTTGCCTGTGGTGCTGTGAAATGCCATAGAAGCTACTTTAAATCGGTGTGCGGCTATTGAGTGTACTATGAGTGTACTATAATCATATTATACATATTATACATGCTTACTTCTTATACATACTATATCATACTATATAATATACATATCTTCACGCATCTATACACATCTATACTGATTATACACATGGATGGCAGGATGGATCAAAAATTAAGACTCAGGGAACCACAACGGACCACTGATTTTGCTTTATTTTTTTTGTTAATCATCCATATTTGTGGTATCCCAGTTTCATCCATACCTATATATATATTATATCTATTATATATATTATATATATAGTATATTATATATATACACATACTTATATATATATACATATTTATTTATACTTACATGCCGCACATCCACTGGTTAAACTTCATATTCCCAACGTCTTGTGGAAATATTCGTGGGATCAGGTCCCAGGTCAGCTGGAGATCAGAGACATCGCCGGGTTGATCAAGGTGGGTGACAGCCATGCGGATTCTTATGCTATTATTATGCTATTATAATGCCCATATTAATAGCATATATCCCAATTATTAGCATAATAATAGCATAATAATAGCATATATCCCAATTATTATGTGTATAGATTGCGGATATCATGGGATTATGCCCGGAAATACTCGCAATATGACCATACTGTCCATAGTACTGATAATGATAGCAATAGATTTGCAATAATGATAACAATCTATAAGAATAATGCTAATATCTGGGACATCTGGGACCATAGGGCTTTTCAATATGGGCGGATGTGATTATTCCCAGATATGCATCAGATTTCGAGTTATCTCGAGCGCAAAAGATACAGAGGATGTAGAAAGAGCTAGCTAGGGACTGAACCCATCATGAATTCTTTGCTTGCTTTGGGCTCCTCCAAGACGAAACGCATGGAACCATAGGTATGCAGCTTGAAGTGAAGGTGATGTTTTACATTTTTTCCAAGTCAAAGTGCCGGAACAAAGAGACACACCTTCATCCTTCCAAATCCTTGCAACCCTCAGATTGAGATATCATCCCTAGATTCAATCAAATCTTCATAGCTCAACATGAACTCCCACATGCCATAGCCGTCATAGCCACCTGGGTCGCCACCGCAGGGTGCAAGTGCGGGTGCTGGGATGGGCAACGCTTTCCTGAGCCAAATCCGGGGAGTCCAGGCTGCCAAGCAGTTGGAAAGCAGTATTGCTGTAGTATTCACTTGGAAATATATACGTATATAAATATAAATATGTATGTGTATATATATAGAGAGTAAGTATGTAGTAAGTATATAATTATATAATTATATATGTGGTACTAGAATATACATGAATATACTATATAGACTATATATTTAAGTATAGTATTGTTCTTTTGAGGTGTGGTGGGGCTGTTCATGTTGAATCATGTTTGTGGGGAATAACTCAGGACGACTGAACTCAAAGG